AGAGCTACGAGCCTGACCTTCTCTATTCTCAGATCGCTTTTCCTCATGGAGAATGATAGGTGAATGATGCTCAATGTCAACATGTTCTTGCACACTCAATTGTTCTGCTAGATGCACAGGCAAACAGTCTTGTGAACCTTCTCCATTCTGCTCGCACAAAGAAAATTTCTCCATGTTGCTACCCCCTGGAACAGGTAACTGATCGCGATTCTCAGTGACTGGTAGCGATTGCTGGTGTTCAGGTGAGCTGGAAAAAAAAAATTGTGCTCAGACCAGATACGACAATACAGGAGAAGAAGACATAAGTAAATGTATAGAAGATGCATATGTTACAGTTTATAGCTTCTCGAGTTCATTCAACAGTAAATTATGCAATTAGAATTCATTTTTCACTAAAAAGGCAATGATGCTTGATATTCCATTATTAATGTATTTTATCCCCATGCACCTACTTGCGTATATAAATCCCATGCACTATATATATGCGAACATGATGAACCTACTTCCTAGAGTGTCATATGTAGTAATGACAATTCAAAACTACCATTGCAGGTTAAATACCTTCCGCTATCAGGTGAATGCTTTTTATAGCTTTCCAACTCTGCTCCTGGTTTTAAGAAATATCTCGGAGCTTGAAAATTTGCAATCTGGTTATCAACAACAATTAGGGACACAATAATACATACTGCACGTCATAAAACCACACCAAAATTTTCTTGACTTACTTTTTTCAAAATTGGTTCAATCTTCTTTGCAGCGTTAGGAATTCTTTCTCCAACTGCTTTCTCTAATGTCTAGAGAGAAATGGACAGAGTGGCGTCAATCATGGTGGAAACACATTGGATATGAAAATAACCATAAATATTGCGTTTCATCCATGTATTACCTTTAAACTCATTGGAGCCTCTTTTAGGAGATCAACCAGCAGTGTCTGCAAATCAATTTCTTTATTAACATTGGTTGCTTGGCGCCCAGATGAGTCCATTATCGCATTAGTTGCCCAATTTGATGAATCTTTTTCGCTAGCAACCATATTCTCTCTGCTCTTTGTGTGGACTGGTGTGACATTCTCGTTAGCTGCATGATTTTTAGCAGGATTCCCAATCCCATATGAAGGAGGGGTATTGTGTCGATTAGAAGGAGACAGTCCCGGTGAAGCCGAGAGCCTATTTTTCACAGTAGAGGTTGATGACCCTGGTCTGAAAGAAGGCTTTGAACCTCCGATTGGAACTGTTACGATAAACCACATGAATATAATTTAGAATTGACAAAACAGCAAACGAATATAATAGCACCCAAGAGTCTTTGAAACCCTAATGTGTTACCACAGGCTCGTTGCAAAAGGTTTTCCTATATACCTGGAGGTGGATCAACTTTCCGCTTCTTAGGCGGAGGTTCCTTCTTCTGTTTATTTGACATTCTCCATGGACTTCCTGAAAGCACAGGTAAGATGTTACAATATTATTGATTGTACCCATATATAATCACATACTAGATATGTAAAGGTTTCGAACCCGAGAGAAGAAAACCTGACAACACAGTAACATTTAGAGCATGGGTTTCAGTTTAAAACAATAATTTCTTAAACCACTGATTTTGAAAGGAAAAGAGAAAATGTGGGGATGTACAAACAAGGTTTTTTAACAACAATAACATGTTAGCTCCCAAAAATTTCGAGAGATAGATGAAAGCTGTTCATATGGACACCAGATAATAGAACGAAAAAAATTACCTTCAGCAAGAGCTACCTGCTTCGTTAATGATGGATTCCCAGGATCTAACACAATTGCCCTGACATGAACAAAATGTAAGGGTATTTCAGGCATAATCCCTTTGAAGAGAATAAGATTAAGGCACAAAAGTATGCAATTTGTTACACACAGTGAGAAAGATTCACCAAGTCTGAGTGTCACAAAAACAGCTCAAAGTACCCAAGATGAATATTACATGAGTAAGCTAAAAGAGTAACCCATTTAAGCCATAACTAAACTGGGAATCCATGAAAGCAGAGGCTGACATCCACAGCAGCCTAACTGCAGTAAGATAGACAATGTGTGTACCAATATTTTGTTCACAACTCTACCAAAGATTATATGTTATAGTGACAAGACTAATGAGAAGACTACCTACCCATAGAAGACTGCAAAACCAGAAAAACTAAGAGAGCAGACACCTTTGCAGCTAAAGGACAGAACATGCTGAAAAATTTATAGATATTGCGATGCAACCAAAATGTTTAGTCAGAACTTATACTTGCGTGATTTGGTTCTCTGTTCAGCTTCAACTGAGCGCATCTTCATATGACTTGTGGTTGACTCATCTAGAGTTCGCTGGACGTTCAATTTTCGCCAAGCACATCCAGCCTCAATCAGCATACCGTTCCCATCTTCACCACTTTGGTGTTCTTCATATATATCACATAAATCACCGCGCTCCCTAGACCAGGTAAATTTGAACTCTTTTCCACCAACATTAATTATCTGTTTATGTCAAGATCAAAAACAGCTGGACAGCGTCAACGTTTAAACAGTTAAATTAAAACCCCAAAATGACACATGAAGGAAAGGCATAAATGTTAACAAATAATAGTTAAGAACAATTTCTATCCACTTGCATTTTTGTATCTCACTTCTATGTTCCTAAATGAATTGTATAAATTCTCCGTGATGAACATTCTGGCCAATATTAATGAAATACAGATGATAAAGAAAAAGTAACAACTTCGATAAATACAACAAGACCCAGATGCAGTGGAATATAAATGACAAAAAGGTATGCAGAAGGTGTTAATATATTCAACTGACACCCACAGCTAGCAGCAAGACCATGGATCTACAAAGTAAATATGTTGCCAGAGACCATAAAAGCAGCAATTCAATGAGTAAACCAACATACCATACAATACATGCTCAACCAATAAGCAAGTCAAATGTCTACCCAGAATCGATCAAGGAATTAATGTGATACAATTGTAATCCAAGTAGCAATGGAATCTTAAGTCAACAAATCTATGCAACAGAAATTCTTCTCCAGATGGTATCTAAACTATTGGCTTATGCAGAACTAAACCAGCTTTTAATCCAATATTACATTACCATCTACTTTCTTCTATAGGAACTGTTTCCCCCCAATTTCACTAATCTAGGGTACCCTGATTGAAGTAAATGGTCAACATGTTCGATTGCACAAAAGAAGTATAAACTACCAAAGCAAGCAAATTCAAGATTCACCCAATGAAAGAGTGCAAACTAGCTTGAAGCAATTCAACTTAAACTAAAGAAACCCTCTTTCTCTGAATAATCAAATTAGTTGAAACTCACATTCCCAGTGCTATTGTTAGGAAACGCATCGAATTTGATCTTCGCAGCTCCACCTTGTGCCTCCACACGCTTGATCTCCTCAACCAAGTCAGGAGCCAACCGTATGATCATTCCAAAAGCCGAAGGACTCTCCCTCGGAACAAGGCTAAACTTTTCCTCAACCGTCCGTGTCGCCGTCGACGATGCCGCCTTAACGCTTGTAGTATTCCGCTGCCGTGAGGCGGCGGAGGAGCCACCACCACCGGAAGACATCCTCCCGACGGGAGAAGGATGCCGGTTCGTAGGAGGAGGGAAGGAATTACGGTTTCGGACCGGTCCACCGCCACCTCCTCTACCGCCACCGCGACTGGGTTTCGACGATCCTCCGTACATCCTCCGGTCAAATTGCCCCGTCGTCACTGCAATATCTTCAGAACCATGTATATGTGTATGTATAGATTTAACTGATTGAGACGCGCGAGCAAAGGAGAGAGACGATGATGATTAGAAAGAAGATATCCCCC